CGGCCCCAGCCGAGGAGGTCCAAGAGAAGGGCAGCAGCGATGTGTGGCACATTCAGAAGGGCAGAAGCACCCAGTTTTGGGGAGAGAACCCCCTCAAATCCGGCTCCAGGAGGCTGGGCGGGGGCAGCTGGGGCAGCAAAGCTGTTTTGGCAACCAAAAAAGCCACCCTGTCCTCAGTACCGTCCCTGGTAGCCACCATCGGCCACCGCCAGCCACAACCCCGGGGGCAGCAGGATGAAGCAAAACACCCCCCGAGCTCTGGCTGCCCTCGGACCCCCATTGCCAGCCCGGGGCGATGTTCTGGCAGGGGGGAGCGGGTTTGGTTCCGGTGACACCGGGCTGGTGACGGCACGTGCCACCGCACGGGGCCGAGGGGAGGAGGCCTGGGATGGGTGCCAGGAGTGGCTTTATCAATTAGCAGGTGGAGGTAAACAGCACGGTAATTACAGCCAGGGAGGATGATGCTAAACTGGGAAGGTGTTGGCGACACCAGTGAGGACAGGGGATTAGCCGAAAAGCAGCGAGGGAGGGGGGCAGACCTGGGCGGGCAACCAGCAGGGACGGTCCCCAGGGCGGCACGGACCCCAAGCACCAGTTTTGTGCTGGGGTGGGGAGAAGGAGACAGGGTCGGCAGTGCCGGGGCAGGAAGGGTGGTGGAGAGGGGAGCAGTGGCAAGGCAGCATGGTGACACGGTGGAAAGGACCTAATTTTGGGGTGCTGATGGGGTGTGAGAGTAAACCCCGAGGGGAGGCAGCCAGCAGGACCCAGCCATGCCCCGGGCTGTGAGGAGGAAGAGGAAGGATGGAGCGAGGCTGGTGCCAGGAAGGGTTTGTTGGCATTTCCCACGGCCTGCCAGGACACACTGCTGCTCCTGGCCACTGTCCCCACCATGATGCCCCACGCCAGCACCTCGGGGTGCAGGGGACCACGGCAAGGAAGGGCTGGAGGCAGAGCTGGGACAAGTGGGTCCTGGCATCTGGGTGTCCTGATGGCCACAGGGCTCAGGGAGCATCTTCTGTGGAGGCTCTGCCCCGCGTGTCACCCTGGCCTGGGCACGTGCTGGGGGGGCAAGTCTGGGCCCTTCCTCCGAAACGCCGTGCCAAGAGCAGGTCAGACCTTGCCGCCCTGGCCGGGATGGGGAGGAAAGCAGGGACAGATCCGCACGGTGCCGGCACAGGGCAGGAGAGAGGAGTTGGGCGATGCATAAACCATCCAGACCTTCTGCAGAAGATGTCTCCTGCCGGGGCAGCAGGAGAGGCTGAGCTGGTGGTCGGAGGCTGAGAAGATCAGGGAGGAATCCCACCACCATCTGTGGCATCAAGATCTACCAGCTGCAAAGCAGGAGCTTCTGGGTGCGGGTCCTCGTCGCTCCCGACCCCGGGGACGGGGTCTCAGCTCTTGCTGCTCCTCCTCAGAAGCATATCCCATCCTGTGGAGAGCTCTTGGGTTTCAACAACAGCTTGCAAAGCCCCGAAGACCCTCAGCAGAGAGGAGCGAGGTGTTGGTGGCCTCCTCGGGAGCCCAGAGCTGCCGTCGAGAAGGGAAAGGCAGCAAGTTGTGTTTCGCTGGTACGTGACTGGCAAGCCCTTCCCTCCTCCCCAGAACACAGATAGCCCAGAATGGGGATGGAAAGTGCCGTGTTTCCGTAGCAACCAACATTTTCGTGCAAGGTGCTGCACGCACTCCACGCGTTTTGCCACCCAAGGGTGCTCCTCACCTTCCTGCTCCACGCAGGGCGGGTCCTGCCCGGTGGGACGCCTGCACCCAGGTGGCAGAGTGGGTCCCCAGCCCGGCACTGGGGCCACGATGCCTTGTTGATGCCTGGTAGGATCCTTCCCTCCTCCTCCTCACCCGCAGCAAAGGAGCCCAAAGCGTTGGAGCAATCCTGGGTGGCTCCTCGCCGTGGCACAGTGATGCTGGCGTGGCATCTCCCGACAGCCTTTGCTGTGCCACTGCCTGCCCGTGCCCAGCATGTCCAAAATCTTCCAGCACAAGCCACCAGTGGGGATGGGCGTAACCACCACCACCACCACCATCACCACAATGGCACCCTTGGACGATGCTGGGGGCCGCAGCAGCTCTCCCCACACCGTGTCCATGGTGTCTCCGGCTCCTACCCGTCCACCTTGGCTTGTCCGACACCGTGGGGACCGGCAGCTCCAAAACCAACGCGCAGCCCCCGATGG